TATATATATATATTTATATATATATATATATTGTGATCGGCCTAGGGACTCTAGGCACCGTCAGAATCGGGCTCGGGGCACTAGGGGCCGTAGTACCGAACTTTCTTATATTAGATTATTTTAGAATATTGACACATGTCATTATTAATTTCTATGAACCAAAATTATTACACTGACATACTATCACTATATAATACTGGGCCCAGGAAATAGATTTAGTCTTTAACCAACTTCTAATATTCTACAATTAAAAGAACTTAGCTACTAACTACAGTAAATTTCCTAGTCTCACAATTGTAGAACATAGTTGGTTAGTTAATTAGTAGTAGATTATTTCCATCAGACCTATCACCATGCCCAAGCACTTTCAACGTTACTTGTTGCATGGCAACAATCAGCCATGAAATGGCATCGCTTGCATTCAGCAATCTTGGTGACGAGCAAGAGGAAGCGAAGGAGCAGATGATCAGCATGTATTTCAGCACTGAGCTCTACAGTCGGATTCAATGGAATATGCTCTCGGGTATGCAAGGTAACCACATGTGGTTGATCGCGATGGCGACCTTGTATGCCGGTGAATGGCGCCATTTGCAGAAGGATACTTCTCATTCAGCGGTGGCAATTTTTGCACGTGCGCTGCGGAAGGATCCGCAGGTGACGATGCACGCCTTGGACGAGCTTCTTACTTACGCTTTGACTACGTCAGTCGATGGTGGGTGTTCAGCTGCGTCAGAGGCTACAGCAGCTCCAGTGCCTGCTGCTCGTTCGAGGCCGGTAGAGCGTCCTGACCCTAGCGCAACTCAGCCAGATTCAGGAACGGCAGGGGTGACTACAAGTGGTAAGGATGCCCCACAGACGGATGTAGAGAAGGCGTAATGGGCGCAATCTCAGCAGGAGGAGGCTGTTCGGCAGCAAGCGCGTGACGAGGCGCGCCGGGTGATGGCTGAAGAAGCTCGCCGTTATTATACAGAGCGTGCGAAGGGTGAGACGAGTACATCTGGTTCTTCAAAAGGAGGTTCTACGACGGCCGGTTGGTTCATCAATGACATCATCGCATTTATTGGAATGGGGTACCTTTGACGTCTCGGGCATCGCGAGATATTGACCTCGCGGTGCTTCGGCTTCCAACAGGGATACATGAGAAGGTGTCTCGATTTTGTATGGTAATCAGGAATGGGTCCAACAAACCTTACGCAGCATTGGCGATGGTCAACGACAATATCAGTAAGTTTTTGTTGGCGCAGGCTATTGCTGAGCCGGCGCCTTTAGAGAAAGTGGTCAGTGAAGTGAACAAGCAGATTGCTACTGTCGAGTTGTTGTTTTCACTTATTTGTAGGAATAAACAGCATGTTCCTTGGTTACGGTACCAGACATGGAAGAGTACTCGTTGGCTCTCATGTATATTGATAAAAGCGATGTTGTGTACCGCTTAGGCTACCATGTGG